AGGAAAATTCAAAAAAGTAAAGCATCCCTATCAATGTGGTGGAAATGTAGTGTAAGCCAAGATCTCAGTACAAGTAATATACTGTTCCCGTTTGTCGGCTAACGCTAAGGAGATAAGCAAAATTTTGTAAAATTCCGTTCGAAATTTTGGACTTAGAAGATATGCTTATTTATTTTTCAAGATCTGACTTGCTGGCTCTTACTCGAATTCTATGCAATGGTGTTGTGGATGGTAAGCCAGTTGTTGTCAAAAAGCATAGCGGTGGACAGTTGGCCAAGTTGTGTGGCAAAATAGGCAAAGCATCTCGTGAAATGTCACTTCATACTGCTGAAGAAAAAGAGCAAGATGAAAAATGGCAAGAAAAATATAAGTAAGACAGAATACCATTTAAAATATATTATTTCTAACGTTAAATATTTAGACATTATGTTCCAAATAAGAATTGAATATCTCTAATTCGCTTCAGAGAGCTTCTACAAAGACCTACACATAAGTGTAGTTGGGGTGAAACCAAGCACCTTTTTGCAAACATCAAAGGGTGGTCGAATTTTCAAGATGTTTTTTTCGTTAGTGCATTGACCGGAGAAGGAATAGATATGTTACGCGATCATCTTCACCAACTTGGTTTGAAGAAGGTATTTTTTTACAATTTTCAATATGGAAGTGACAATACGGAAAACCAGTAAAGCTCGTTGGGCTTAAAATACTGCAAATATTAATGCAGTTTAAATTCACTTGTAATTATTTTTAGGAGCACATTTTTAAGCAAGAAATACTTACTACGAAAAAACCGGTGATGATATGCCAAGATGCAATTCGAGCAGAATTTTTAAATCGGATACCGCCTTACATTGCCTATGCCTTGAAGGTAAGGCTCTTAATAAATTGCAGGAATGGTAAAGCTCTAAGTTAATTACAACGCTTTATCATATTATTATCTTCAATAACAGTAGAGTTTGACTTTTCAACTTATGTCATGTTTGGACAAAGTCATTTTTCATACGCAGGATGCATTAGATCGTTGTCAGTAAAGCCTAATCATGATTTAGCCATACCGACTGTGTCAGTAAAGCCTAATCACGACTAAGCAATTCTGATAATGATGCAATTGCGTCTGAATATTTCCATTTCTGTATACCTTATAAACTGGGTTTTACAATCGTTATGAAAAGTCATCACATAAATAATAATTCTGTACTTGAAGTGTCGAAATTTCAACACATTTTCTGATATCATAATAGTTCCTGATTATTTTTTCCTTGTTTTATAGATAAGTGTAACGGAATGGGATATGGAAGGCGAGGTATTACAAATTGTTGCTGAAGTTGAATGTAAAAAAGATCGCATAGCTCGAATTGTAGTTGGAGAGCATGGCTTGACAATTACAGCCGTAGCTAAGGAAGTTAACGAATCATTGCAAAATTTGCTTGCACAACAATTATTCGTACGTATATTGGTTAAAGTTGAGGGTAAATTGTTCGATATTTTACGATATAATGCACGAAGGAATATTACCAAAAAATCCGTAGGAATATAAGTTTCAAAGATTGTGAAATAGAGTTTTGAAAAATGCTATTGAATTTTGAAAAATTTTCTCAAGTTAGTAGAATGACAAATCAATCTTCGAAGTATTAAGCGATTTAAGGGATAAACTTTTTTTCACTTTGATTTTACCACCGTTTCATTCTTGTAGCGTTGTTAAGTTGTTTTTACATAGTGTTGATATGTGTGACATTGAAAAGATGTATGTAAATGTTTTTGCAGTAAAAGTTGCACCGAATTGAATAATTTCAAGACATTATAAGATTTTTGTATTCTTCATGCTCAGTGAAGTTAGCAATAAATGAACGGAAAGAGGAGACTGTAGTTTCTACTGTAAACGGCTAAAAGGATAACATATGCTCGCATGAACTACGACGATTTTTAACAAGTTAAACTAGAGATATTTATGAAGATGATATGAATGGGAAGAACATGTACAATAATAACAACGGTCTGACTGGTTATTACATGAAAGTACCTTTTCTCGAATAGCTCATCGAGTGTCATCTACTGTATTCTGTAGCTTGATTTTGGAGCTTAATGGATCGAACAAGAGTAAAGGAAACATGCCAATAAGGAAAGCACCAACAATTAGTCTGCCACGTCGAAGATTCGTTAAAAATTCGAACAAAGGATGATTCGAGCTGAAATGAAAGTTCACATTTTATTTCCTTCTAGAAAAAAATTTCTGCATTTTTATGTGTTAAAAATTAAATGCTTTGAAGCTTAATCCACATTTCGGTACAGCAAGTTCAACATAATGTGCAAGATCTACAGCAGCAAAATCCGATACAGTGTTCCCACCAGCTACTGCAGCCATTGTAGATAGCGCTAGTCAGGTATCAATTATCTGAGAAAAAACATGCATTGCAGAACTACTGATATCATCCATAAAAAAGTTAATTTGCTGCTTTTTACTTTTATCCTCTTTTCACACTACTAATTCACATGAATTTACGAGATAAAATCTATCTTATCAATATATTCACCGGCGACGAGCATAATAGCAGCATTTTCAAAAATGGAAAACCAATGAAAGATATTGAACTTACTAGAAAAATGATGTTTGTTGACGTGAAAGACATTTCCTAGAAGAATGGAAATATTTATGTTCAAATATTTCTCAAATTAAAATTTTTTTTCATTTCTTAAGTGTAAAGTGAGAATTCAATTAATTTCCTTCATTAATTAATTTCCCATCAGTAATACTTGATGTCATTAAAAGAGTAATTTAGAAAAATTTGAAACGAATCCTGATAATATTTGAAACACCACTATTTACAATATATTGCTTGATGGTATATGTTGAATGTTAAGTAGTATATGTTGGAGTTAGGATTTTAAACTTCATTTCACATTTCAATACAAATACAATCCCACATTTCAATACAATCCCACTTCATTTCACATTTCAGTATCAGAAGTTCTCTTCTTTCTATTTGCAACAGCGATGAGTAAAACTTCTAGTCACTGGATATTTAAGCTAGAAATTATTTGATCAAATTGGACAGCTAATCAAAAATTGAACTAGTAGAGCAGAGGAGTAGAGGAGCTGTCATTATTAGTAGCTGTGTATAATTCTTAGTAATGATAATGGTGATAATGATGATACAAATTAGTTCCATAATTCTAAACAATTTAAGAAATTATGAGTTTAAATTTGAAATCCAAATAATTCATATGAATCATATGATTTTTTAGGCTATGTGTATAACTTAACTAAGCTTTGTATACAATGATTAGATATCATGAAGTAAAGATAACCTGATATGCATCGTCTAACATTTGCCAAACTTTGGCTGTAGTGGCGAATAAAAATGGAATTTGAATCACCAAGCTACATGCAACCTTTTATTAATAAGAAGTTGAATATTGCAGATATTTCGCCTCTATTATGTAATTGTTGAGAGTACTACTCTTTGGAACTTATCCTGAATCAAATTACGCAGACTTGGACAAAGATTATTTCTCTTTGGCGATTAAGAGGCATTAACTCATCTAATTAACCAATTAGGGCGTTTTAATTAACCTAGTAAGGAATTTTTCTGTGAGTCATACTTTGCTCATCATTCATTGCTGGCCGTTGTTTATTTACGGATGACTGTTATTCACCCCATCTATTACCAAGGTAAAATGAAGCATCAGAAAGATGCTTTAAAAAGATTATCACAATACGGAAAATGGAAAGTAAAGCTTTGATACTCTTGCAAATTACACCTTATTCATAATTAGTGCTTAGTGATACTAATTAATAAATTATCAGTTAGAAACGTGTTCAATTTGTTTAAAAAGGAAAATATGGAAAGGATATCGGTGTATACTTTGCTCGGCTACCTTGCTATTTTTGTATCAAATTGAATCCTTTCAACTTCTTTTTTGTTTGCTACAAAAATTCATTGTATTCCAATTTTATTTAAAATGTTTATTTCCCGTATAATTAGCAAATTTAAAAAGTGAAGCGGATGATTTAGGGCAGATAAGCTATATTCTTGCCTTTTTTTTCCGAGAAATGTGAAAAATAAGGAAGGAAAAAACAGTTAGATTAAAATAATGAATATCTAATGAGGTAAATGTCGTGTTATTAAACAGGTGAAGATGACCAGTCCCAAAGCTAGGGTTAAATGGAACAGTAATTAGATGAATTACAAAATTCATAATCTGTCGAAATAATTTACAATGGCACTTTATTAGGACTTAAAATGTCTTTCGAAAACAAAAGAAACTCTCGACAGACGAAATCTTCCCGGTTCAAAAATATCTCCAATCTCCAATCTAGAGCCTTTGCCAGCAAATATGCGAGATTTCTGTGAAATTGTATGTTTAATAAAGTTGCTCTTCACTTTCTTAATATTGATCCACACCTCTAAAATTTTGGAGTTTTTCGAACTTGTTATATGTATTGATAATAACACTTGTTAAGCAATATATTGGTTAGAAAACTATACCCTCCAAGCAGTTAATTTGTGTCAGAATTACCGAGACTTTTATTCCCTTAAAATAATTCTGCGGTCGACTCATTAAAACAACTTTCCAGTAGAAACACATTTTGAAAGAAATGTAATTCATTTCATAGTAAAAAACAAACAAATTAAAGAAGAAATTCCATGGATATAAATTATGATATTTACCGAACAATAGATAAAGTTGAAACGCAATGATTTTAGAATAATGGGAATAGAAAAAAACAGAAGATGACACCCGAATCGATAAAACAGATTAGTCTTATTGCAAATGATATGTAACCGACAAAATATCCAAATAATATGAGGAGAAGAGGACAGTAAGTCGACCTCACCGCAATTGAATAAGAATAAAAGTAAAATATGATATTCAACAAACCATTCATTTTCATAAATCTGACCTTGCAAGACTACACGAAAGTTATAACCATGATAACAATTTGCGTTATCTAACGAACAAGACATGAGATAGTGAAGTGTACACCAGCGGGATTTATTTCATCTATAACCACCTTGTCCACCATATCTGTCACGTCCTCTTCTACCACTACCACGTCGCCCACCACCATGGCTTTGGTTATGATATCCTTCGTATTCTCTCATTACCTTCAGTAAAAACAGTGAAAAAAACTGATATATGAATATATACTTCCTCCCCTCTTATTTTCGAAAAATAATTGATAGTGAAATTAAAAATCAAAAATCGTTATGTGGAAAAATCAAAACATTAGATACCGTTATGTAACACTTTATTTATATATTGATAAGTAAAATTAAGTAATATCAGTATATCAGTATTTTAAAACAATGACCACGTACCTGACTTTCGAAACCTGCACCACGATTACCACTTTTGAATCCTCCCCTTTCATAACCTCCATATCCGCCACCACTTTGATAACTCCCGCCACTATAAACGTCCTGAAAACTTCCGCCCCCTTGATATCCATCGCTACTCCCCTGATAACCGCGCCCTCTGCCTCTTTTATGATCACCTAGCTGCCTACCTGAAATTTATTTTCTAATAAGTTTTCCTACATAAAACTATTTCCTCCATAGAATCAAAAACATACCACCTCGATCCGAAACGCGATCCTTTATCCAGGGAGGCATTTCTGGTGGAGGAGCTCGCAGTTCAGAAGGCCTACCACCACGATCGCCCGGACGATCAGTCATCAGTACCTAAACAGTTTATTTCTTTGAAAAGTTATTGCGACATACGATATCTTTGCAATATTTTTTTAAAGAAATAAAAATAATTCTTGTTGCAGCATCAAATACTTTATTTTAACACCAAATTCTCATACAGTGATACACAAGAACTATAACAATTAACTATAATAATTTATCCATCCTTCTGTGCATCCAATGCCAAGTCTCGAAAAATGACACAATTCAAAGTTCTCAGTTAAGTACATTGCAATAAACATTATGGGTTAACAGATGGCTGGAACATTTTTAATACCTTTTTAATACCCATACCGACTGCTAGAACATTAAGTAGAAAAGTTATAAGAAAAATGGAAGGTCATGTTTGAGAGATTTATACAAAACTCACTTTACATGGAACTAAAGGTAATCAGTAAAATTATTTGAATTGAAGAAAAACAAGATTGCGAAACATTAAACCTTATTTAAACGTGATGCGGTACGTCTTCTTTCTTTTTCACTATTTATTCTATCAACTGTTAAAAGGGAGCTAGTCGCTGCAAGCAAATCATCCATGCCAACATTTGATGTTACCGCAATTTGTTCTCGTCGAGGACGATAAATTTCGTGCAATTTATCCTGAAAGACAACAAATACACGGTAACCTCTGTCTTTTTTATTTACAGTTCGAATCGAGGATAAACATTTACCTGCATTTTCTTTATACGATCAGACCAAGCGAACGATTGAATTGTAACATCAAGACGTTTAATCAATAACATAATCCGAGTTCGATATTCCTGCACCAATTTTTCATTTAGAGCTTCAATTTTCTCCCATTGCGTATCACTTAACGATGCGGTCAACAATGGACGTGGTTTTTCTTTGCATTTATCCATCTTTTTCTCAACCTATAGCGGTAAAAGAATCGTTAAAAAAGCTTTCACCAGGTGTTTTTTTGAGAAGCATCATTTACTTCACCGGAAAATGAAAGAATGAGAAATAAAACAATTATTTAATCTTTTGTTACAGATATGAAAGTTCTTGCACTTATATTAACTTGTAATGCGAGAATAAAGGCAAAATGAAAAAACTAACCAAATCCTTTAATGTTAAAAGAACTTTCTCAGCAGTACCAGCAGGTAATTGATCCACACCGACTGCCATGAATGCACTTTCCAAGTGAAGCGCTTCATCACTCTTGTACTGCAAATGAACAAACCTTCAAATGATATTCATAACTGATGAGATGAAATTGAAACATTTCACACATAGAAAATATTATCAGTAATCTTAATTATGACCTAGTCACAAGCAAGGAATTTTAAATGCTAATTTTCATGCTAAATTCAATTGAGTTTACAGATTTTAACCATAATGGACAGATATTGTGTCCAGAAAAGCAAACAACATTAAATAAAAAAACTTATGTTAGTCAGATGATTAAAATTGAAGAGCAAATATTCTAAAGGATGTTCAAAATTAGAAGAACGAATTTGAACTTTAAGTTAAAATTAAAAGTAAAAGCCAGATTATATTTCCTTAGCATCATTCAACAAATGTGGATTCTTTCACATAAGAACAATAACGACAAAGTAAAAATGAGAGGAAATAACTGCATGTTTTACTCTCACGAACTACAAACTTCGGTTCACAAGTCCCCAAATAGAAATCTTTTTTTGTTTTTTAATTTTTCTCTAAGGTGCTGCATTTCGCACTTTTTCTTTAAAGAAAAAATTCGTGAAATAATTCCTGACGAGTTTTAAATTTCATTTTTTTTTTTAAAAATGGCATATAAAAAGTAAAAAATCAGAAAATCAGTACTAAGTTTTATCGCAAATGCTGTTTAAAGCAAACTGTAATAAACCTCCGGTGTTTTTTCATGCAGCTCATTCAGTGCAGTCAGCCGAGCGCATTTCATGTGACTAATAAGGAAATTAAGCAATTTAGTTTGATTTTCGATCGATCGAAATCGCTCTACAATTGGTCCATGTGTTAGTGCTTCTATTGGACATTCTGGAACACAGATTCAACGTTTATATTCATGCTCAAACTGATCTTGCCTGCTAACTGAATTTGAAATGTTTGAGGAAATCATATTTTAAGCACTACATCTAGAATAACTTTCTTACACTCTTACTTCTCTTTTATATAAATTCCCTTTCTTAAAACTCAAAACTTCATTATCATATATGGAACTCTTATTAATTCAAGAAAAAAACTGTTACCTAATTCAGATAACATTGAACTAAGTTCCAGGAAAAAAAATTCCATATTATCGGGTCCAGTAAGTGCATGCACTGTTTCATTCAAACCATACAGTGCCGATATCTCATTGCACATCCATTCGATTAACTTGCAAAAACGAAGATCTTCAATGCCCGCTTTTTGTATATCTTCTATTTCTTCCGGTGGAAAAATATTGAAACTGAAGAATGTATCGATAATAAATGCACTTTTTATCTCACGTACCATAAAATATGGTGGTGTTTAAGAAAGACAAAAAATTGCCTACTCCTAATGTTACCGCGAATCACGAAAAACTATTCAACACAAGCATTCATTCGATTCGGATAATGCAGTTTGAATCAATTACTAACAATGATTTCGAATAGATTTTAATTCAAAAAAAAGAATAAACTTTTAAATTCATTTGGCATTTACTGACTTTAATTTACTTCACATTTGAATGAAATAGGATAAACGAATGCTGCTGCAGAGAAGAGAATAATTACTATTTTAAAATTTTCAATTGTGTTTGACATCGTTGTATCATTTAGCCTAATCAATAACATGAATTGATATAATCATAATACGAAGATTAGCCAATTATCTCCAAAAAAAAAGAGTCCAAACATAATTCAGAAAAGAGAACTGAAATATGTAGCAATGCATTATACTTACCCGAAGGAAATAATTTCATTAGCAATAGAAGATTGATTCCGTAATGTTCCATCCATTTGTACTGAAATTAATAATTTCATTTTTAATAGAATATAATTTTTTTCAACAAATAAATCGCAATTTTCACTAGATATTTTTAAACTAATCAAAAATTTTGGATATCTTAGGAATGAAGAAAACATAAAAGATGATGTAATGGTTCTGTAAAGTTATTGTTCGGCTGTACGATAATGAAAAAAGCAAAAGTTACATATTAGTATTAATAAAGATTAAGGAAACTAAAATTACTTTCGAACGCTAACTGATAATAACTAATACAGCTGAAGAGGGAAACATTTCAGAAGTTTCGGAATTAGTGAAGGAAGATATTTTAGAGTTTCGAAATCAGATATGTAACAGAAAACATAGAATTAACAGAAATTGGAATTATGGCAAATTAGAAGTTATTCCTGAAATTCTTATGATTAGAAATCTCGTGAAATACAGGATGAATGCTACAAGCTTTATGTAAATTTTTCATTTGAAAAAAATTACAAAGCTATCACAAATCATTCCTATTTTATACAAAATATCAAACTAAAATTAAATTAAAAAATTTAAGGAACTAAAATCGCCAAGTAATTCGACACATTTATGATTGAATATTTTCGAAAATTTCAAGCCGATAGACGTAACGAGGAAGCATCGGCATCATTTGGAAGAAAGGAATATGTATTGGTCGAAATATTCAAGTGCAAAAGCGAATGATACTCTGCCGAAAAAGCGATACCAGCTATAAATTTGATTAATCTCAAACCCCTCCCTTGGATGATCATTCCCGATTAACTTTCAACTTATCCATCCCAATAAAGAGAATGCACTAATAATTGCATATTCTATTTTTTCTTCATATGAAGCTCAAAATCTTTTTCTATCTCTGAATCTCTGAAGCACAAAGCTCAAAATCTCTACGTACAAGTTAGGAAAGATTTAGAATTTGAATTGGTGAATCTCTTGAAAATCTAGTCTCTCGAGCTAAAAACAACTTTCTACTTCCCTCGATAAAATAGAAATTTTACTTCCCTAATCTCACTCCAACCTTTAATTCAGCCCATAATTTCTTCAATAGGTAGCAACTACTAATTCACATTGCGATCGATTTCAATGTTTTTTTTCACTGCATTATAAAATTTCAAATGACGATAAAATAATAAAAACATTTTGCTGTCAATGTTTTAGACACTTTGTTTAGTGGTAAACCAAACTAAACCTAAAAAATGCTAATGCAGCATAAGTTTTATTTCCCATTGCCATCAAAAATTATGTGGACGAAAAATTGAAACAATTTTTCAAAGCACTATTTATCAGTTCATCCCATAATAAAATGAAAATAATATTTGTGGAAGCAATCAGTTCAATGACAAATGATACAAGTGGAACGGTAAAAATTTCAAATGAAAGCAAAGAATTGTTTGCATGGCATGTGTCATACAGAATATCAACTGGAAAAATTTTACAAAACCGACTGGAAACAAATCAAGAATTTGAAAAAAAAATTCACATTTCCTTTTGTTTTTCTCCATTCCCACCTTGCGGAAAAGCTACAGAATCTAAAAAATATTTCTAAATTCAAATAATACTGTTTCAAGAATCCGAAATTTTTCAAGAAGTATTCTAAGAAAATAAATGAAATAAACCATCATTTAAGTATGGAATATCATATACAGCATGAATAATCATAATTATTTTTATAAACAAGCAAAATAATCACTGTAGAAACCGGGAAAAGGAATCATGATATCAATAATCATACATAATGAGCTACACCATTGGAATTATGACCCTTCTGGCTGTTCCATCAGTTCCGCCGGCAGTGGACTCTTAGGATGCTTCGATTCAAAGTGCTCTTTGTAACTCCTCTTATCCATCATCTGCGCCTAGAATAAATAACTGATCAGCTGAAATTTCAGCAAAATAAATTTTTTTAGAAGGGTTATCATATCAAGAACTTAAATCATGAAAGATAGGAATGTGATCTGACTACTCAAAGAACCGAAATGTGAGTCAAAAAAAGCTTTATGCAAGCACAGGCAAAATCGAGACGTCAATTTCTATATTGAACAGAAGAATATAGGTGACATAGTATAACAACTAACAAATTCCCGGGTAAAAGCGAATTCCTCATTCCAAATAAAAAAACTAAGAAATGAAGGAATTTTGTTACGAGCATTTCACTTCGTTACGTCCTGGCTAAGCCAAGACCAAACGATAATAATGAAACATACAGCTTGATAAATTAGGATAAAATTATCAGAACGCTGTCTGAAATAAGTTTAAATCTATCGCTGCATGTAGAGTTTACGAAATACTAATTATTTTTACTAAAACTTACCATACAAACAGTGCACTTATAGATAAGCGACTTGAGGCATGCGCCCTTCTGGTCATGTCCGACCGATTTTTTCAATGCTTCCTGCTTCTTCAGATTCTTTGCCTTAGCTTGCATCTTCATATGACCGCGTGTCATTGCTGTGGTTATTGATACCGCTGCTGAGAAAGTATTACCTTAATCGTTTAAAAAATCTCAAAAAATTAACATAATTGCCACGAAACTTCTTACTGAAGTTGTTTTCCAATGTTACTAATTCAACTACTTTTCCAATATATTCATCAAGATTTTGTTGAAAATCACCGAAATCAAAAACCAAAAAATTAGCTAAAATTTCCCTTATTTACTCCGCATAGAAATCCGATCTAAGATTACATTGTTATGCAGATCTTTAAGTTATAATTCAATCCTGGGCAAGCATAGTTTCTTCCGCAACATATTTTTCTGCCAAAATCTATAGGGAAAATGGCCAAGTACTATCGTAATGACTACAGAATAATTTATATACACTAGCTAAATTTAAGCTGAATGTGACACTGAACAATTCCTAAATAAAATCTTTGGCTTAGTACCAAAAGAAAATTACTGAATTTTCAAACTGGGGCAAAAACATTTATTCATTTCTTCAACCAGTAGCTGAGAATCCACATTTAAATGTTATACAATGAAAATAATTACCGGAAAAAAGACATTGATATCACTGCTATAATCGAACTAATTAAAAAGGTTGCATCATCAAATGAACTGTAGCCATTTGATGAATCAACACTGTCTTACATTGGTTATCCCTTTAAAAAATAGTTCCGCCATATTAATAAATTCAGAAGTAGAAAAAGGAGTATTCATAAAAGCGAGAGACAATGTACACGACTGCGCCACTAATGTTGCAGAAATATTATGATGGAAGTCAATAATGTGCCAGCGAAGACATGAATATAATACCTTATAATCTCAGATATATCACAAATGTAAAAGCTTGTTATTCTAATACGGTCTCACATATTTAAGCCTGAACATCAACCAATTCTGGTGGAAACGCAGCTTTCGGATGTTTTGACTCGAAATGTTGTTTATAGGTTTTCGGATCTGGCATCAATGCCTGCAACAAATATTCTTTATGCTTGATTTCCCTGAATACTGAACTTGCTGAAAACCGAAAAGTTAGCGTCAAATCATTTTTACATACAAAAGGAACAAGTCTGACCTCTTATTAAATCCTTCCATTAATCCTTAAAATTTATTCGCTTACTCCCGAGACTTTGAGAAAGATTATTTAACAGCTTTCGTGGGCTCTGAATATGTTACTTAATTCGAACTAAATATGTGAGATCAAAACTTAAAATGATGCCATAAATAGTACCAGTTTCCATAATCCTCCAGACAATAAAGATTCCTCCCCAGAAAACAGTTAGCTCTGGAACCACTCTATACCATTTCAGAATGAATAATTTTTTAGCGTGAACTTTCTTTTAATCTGTTTCATCCATCTGAGAACTTACAAATCAGTAGATCAACTTTTGCCTATGCATTTTGATAAAAGTCAAATGATAAAATAGAAAAATCATTAGCACCAGTTTAAATAAAAGGTAAAAGATAATTGGGAAATTATCCATTACTACATAAAAGAGATCACGCCGACAGTCTATGTCAAATATATCAACTATGCTAAGTAAACTTCCAAAAGAAAACTTTACCATACAAACAGTACATTTGTGAGTAAGTGCTTTTATAGCAGCTGCCTTCTGATCACTTCCCTTTGATTTCTTTAATTCCTCTTGTTTTTTCAAGTTTTTTTGTTGTGACTGAAACTTCTGGTGGCCACGAGCCATCGAGCTTCTTTCTATTCAAAACTATTGGGCTGCAAAATTTTAAGCAGTAGAGATCATCTGTCTTTTTTTCTGGACCACATCAGCTTCCCGATTATTCTGAACTACGGGGATGAATATCCCAAAATGATTCCACACTAGTCGCGAATTTTCATTCCATATATCCTTAAAAAGACGTGGAACAAAATATGTCATTTAAAAAGTGGATATTGCTTCTTCGGGGATAAGCGTAATTATTTATGCAATAATACAAATAATGTAGCAAAGCCGCTCAGACTCCTTAAAATTATTGAGAATGATTTTATTAAACCAACTTAACCAATGGCGGACTTAGAAAGAAGTGAAGGTTTAACTGTAAATGGAAATATTTAAATGAATCCATGAAACCCTCATGACCCAATGAAATGTAAAATTTGGTAGTGAACTATGCTACACATTTCCCCACCAATACCACTGAACAGGAAACAGGAAGATATCGTTCAAATTCCCGAAAAATAGCTGTAAGGTGAGGAAAATTTCAACTAGTAGCAATTAACTTCCTCACCAGTAAAAAAAGAAATGTCTTAATCGCTTATAATAATTAATTCCACTGAGAGTGAATCAAGCAAAGTTTTCAATCAGCATCGTTAAAAGACAGGTTTGTTTGAGACTAAGGGATCTTAATCCTCCGAAAAGAGCAAGATAAAATATTCGCCTAATTCTCTTCACTTCTAAACATTAAAATTAAGCTAATATACATGCTCAATAAAGAAATCAATGAAAATCCAAGAATCCATCAATCATTTCTTCTTGAAAAATGCAGAAGAAACACCCATCAACTATTAATCAAGATGTTAATTTGCTCCCCAAAATTTTCAAAATTTCTCCAACATATTTATCTTACAACAAATAAAATTCATTCAAAACACGCTACCCACCAAATGCATATATCATCTAGCACAATTGTAAATTGAAAACAGCCAGTGGTGATAATATAAACGGATGAATGAACGATAAATGCAAATATGGCAAGCAGCCAGAAACTCTTCCACTAGCAGTAGAAATAACCTGCACAAAAGCTAACAATATTTATTTTACAAACCTTAATATATAGAAATATTTCATGAACGGCATTTCATGAATAGGGCATTTCATGAATAGTACAAACAATACAACATTCTTCGAAAATGTGCATAAAGATATCATTCTTTTACCCGACAGATATGTAGTTAAGAAAATATCAAGCTTATACGCTGTAGAACCGCAGCTGAAGGAGAATGGAAATTAAGTGCACCTGAAACTATTCAATGCATATTATTCATCATAGGGAAGAACTCACTACTTCTCTTGAAACTTTCTGCAAACAATTGCAAAACTTTGAAAATTAATAACACATCCAACTATAAAAGAATGAAAGGATCATGAACACTTTGACAGCACGATTTAATCATTTATTGATTATCCGCCTTCTCGGTAAATTCTTGAACTCTATATTTTAAATTTGAGGAAGCGTACAAAAAAGGAACTACTATAAGCAAGTGGTTTTGAAATGAGATTAATTAGATTTTACATGCATTCATATCATAGAAACATCAGGAACATCACACTGAAAGCCTGTGAGAGCTTTGTGGCATCTTCTCTCATTAAATACTTATAAGTTCGACAAGGATTGACCGCTGAAGCGAGGCAGTAGAAAAGTTTACACAATTTCACAGACAGCACCTAATTTTTCAAGTTTTTCTTTCAGTTCTTCAGCTTCACCTTTACTCAGATCTTCCTTCACTGTAGCAGGCAACATTTCCACAAATTTCTTCGCCTGTACCAAATTTAAACCTTCAACTGTTGTACGGATTTCTTTGATTAATGGGATCTTCTTTGAACTATCCACTTTCGTTAATTTCACTGAGAAAAATGTCTTTTGCGATGCTTGAGATTTCATCGATTTCTCTTCTTCTTCTCAAATAGAAAAAAAATTTTTAATCATATAAGAGGAAAAATGAAAAATGAGAGTAAACTCAATATAAAAAATATTTCTTTGACAAAAAAAAAGAAACGTTTTCAAAAAAACACTGATATTTTCTATACTGAAAATTAAAAACTTCATGAACTTTCACCTGCGGCAGGCGTAGTCCCTGAGGCGGCAAAAGATTGTGCAAAGACGTGAGCGTCTGGCAAATTCAATTTCTTTTTCAATATGCTATTCAGATCTGCCACTTCGAAAATCGTTAAACTGACTATTTCGTTTGCTAACCGAAGGATTCGTTCCGACACCACCTTTTCGCCGTCTCGGTGTGGAAGTGGGGATGCTTTCCCTGGTTCCAATGGTAGCTGGAATTTTTGGTCAATAGCTGAGGTAGGGGGTAACTCCATCCCCTTGCCATCATTCATAGAAGGAGCTTGTGGTTCTGTTTCTTGCTTCTTTTCTAGGGTCGTGGACATCCCTCCAGTATTTTCGAACTGTTCGACTTCTGTGGATGTTGAAGTTGGTTTTTTGTCTTCTGGTGATTTTGAAGATAACTTTTCTAATGGAACTGGCGCTTGTGCTGCACTCCCTGAAACAGAAATTCGTTTATACCAAAAGAGAGGCTCATACTAGATTGACATTTGTTTGTTTTATTCGCTGACTGTTTTTCCATTAATTAGCGTAATCGTTAGCAGAAATGAGGGATTGACAGAAATTGCTTCAAAAAAATTCCTTGAATCCGACATCACGCTAATAAGGAAGTGCTAAGAACAGCAACTCAATGTTGGATATCATAACAACACGATTCGATAGCATTAGCTCTAATGCAAAGCAATTCAAAACATCGACTATTCACTCCTTAAATTCAAAGGATGGTTTAAAGGAATTAATGAAAATCTAAACCAACGATTTCTTTCGTTGGACTATAGCCTCAATTGAATCCACTACAACTGATTAATATTACCATCAGACTGAAGCCTTTAGTAAAAATTCGGGAAAAAAGTGCTTGAAGTATCATAAAAAATTTTAAAATAGGCTTATAATTATAAACAAATAATAACCTGTGGCAGGCCTCGTGTTCTTTATAAATAGTGTAAAACGATTTCGTGAAGTAAGCGCTCTTACCAATATATTTCGTACGCAAACTATTTCCATATTCTTTAACGACTCCTAGATCAAATTATGTAAAACAAAAAATGATATGATTCTTTAAAATGTTCATAAAAAATATCACGACCCGTAACGCACAAACCACATTACCTGTACGTTATACATACTACATTCCTTCTCTCGCTTCTTCAGATCATAAATAATCTACTATTGTAAGATGCAGGCCACAACACGCAACCTACTTCTGTTGCAAGATGCAAGCCATAGCGTATGACCTGTTATTCTTGCAAATGCAAATTATATTATGTATTATTTATGATGCAAGACATTGTAGTATGTAATTTAATGCAAGATGCAAGACATTGTAGTATGTAATTTACTTTTCATGCAAAATGAAAGTTATTTAAGTGACTCTTAACTCAAAATGTAAGCTATAATATGTAATTTATTCATCCTGAAAGATGTAGATCATTAAAACAGTTGCTCATAAACTCCCGAGAAACCACCCGCCTACTCCCTCCCAAAAGTACAACGTCGCTACCAAAGAACAGATAAAGAATAACCATTTCATATGCAATACACTTAGTGAAACATACAGTAGCACAGTGATCGTTCCAAGACCGAAACTGGCCAAACGTGCTTGCAATTTTTTTCAATTTCTTGATAATATTCTGTCACTATCATTATTATTATCATTATCATTTTTTGTTACTTACAGTTCACATTTCAGATTGTAAAATAACTTCGTATATTATTTCACTTATTTTAGCTCAATTTCCGTTTCGCTTTTCGATCCATGTTGCTTCAAGAATCACCGTCAATTTCTTTAAAAACTGGCGATTACTATCAAGCTTCGAGCGAGAATGTTAAAATTTGCTGGTATCCTTTTCGACTTTAGATATCCTTTCTATTTTGTGTTTAGTTTTACTCTTTCACTATAATTTTACCTTACTTCAAATAAATATAGCTTCGAGTTTAACCGTGTAATTATTCCTTTATATTTACTCAATTATTTTTTGAAAATGAATAATTGTATAGAGGATTAAATAGTAAGTATGGCAAATCAAACGAATATTTAAGTACTACTTTTGAACCGGTAGTAATAATATAACAACTGACTTTCGAAGGACGATAAAACATCATGTTGAATCGTTGCACTGAGAATCTAATGATAAACAATGATTATTGAAGATTTAAGCAATAACTTCATTTTATAAGTAAAAGAGCTTCGAGAAATTTCAAGGAGAATAAGTTTCAAGTTAATGAATGAATCCACTTTAGCACATCGAATTCCTATTTCAAGATGAAATAGTTGGTTAGGCTTTGTGCATTTCAAATTGTCCTAATCTCTTCGCTTCCCTCAATGTTGCAATAGTCATTCGCAAATAACTTCAATATGGTGGATAGTCATCAATATTAAACCCAATAATTTTATCGTATCCTTTAATGACTCAATTAAAGATTGTTTAATTAAAGTCACATCGTCGTCTTATAAAAGATAATTATTTAGTAAAAAGGACAGAAATGACAGTTAGCTTAAAGAAGGCAGAGATGATAAGAATCATGAATAATTACAGTGTTATCAATTTCGTGCAGTATTGGATTGTTATATAGAAAATTGTAATAAGCACTAAATTAGCTGGAATCAAAATACTCAATAATATTTGAAGATATCAAAGTTTATCTGAAACTAGAGGAATAAACAGGTGTTTACGTAGCATGTTTATTGTTATATCACGATATGATAATAAATTCTTATTTTAGTATCTAATATATATATATATATATATCAATATCCAGAATATGAAATGAATACAGCAACGTATAACTTATTTGGAAGTACATCAAAATTTGTGCTAAAGCAGATGATCGAAATAATTCAGCCATCTTTTGTCTTCTCTTGCTTTATAAGCTTTGCCAAAGAAATTTATTTTTCCAACAAATGAATAGAATATGAAGAGAAGGAAAAAAATTTACGAGACGATAAATATTAGATTCTTGCAACTGCACGATTTACAAGTTTCGAAATACATGACGTTTTTTCGCAATCCGGTTTTTCATTCTGAAAATGAATATGAACATAGAATATCAATATCCAGAATATAAATTGAATACAGCAACGTATAACTTATACTAAACAGTATCAAATAATATAAAATCTTTGACAAATTCAAAATCAACAATAATGTAGATAAAATTTAATAAAAGCAATAGTTACTTCAATCATATTATCGATCAGTTTTTAATCAGCTTACCACTAAGTAACATTTGTATTCTGCTAAATCACATATATGTATGATATATGTATTATCACTGATATAAGATAAAAAAATCTTAAGATTTCGAAATGAAATTGGCATTTCTAAGTAACATTTGTATTCTGCTAAATCACATATATGTATGATATATGTATTATCACTGATATAAGATAAAAAAGTCCTAAGATTTCGAAATGAAATTGGCATTTTATCATCATAGTTATTTCTAATAATTATGGAACTACTATACTATGAACATTTATACGTAAATTTTGCACTATCATACATTTACCGTAATAAATTTTCTACAGTCATACATTTTTTCCTTTATCATGTAGAAAAGTATTTAAGGGAACAGAAATACACAAAAATTAAAATATCATTTTATTACATTCATTTCATCATTCATTCTTTTAAACATCCATTTGTTGACAGTAAGCTTTTCAACAGTAAACTTTAGCTTTTCATTTTTTTACAACAACAAGAAATGATGTATGAAATTGCAAAAATTATAAATTTTAAGAAAGAACAAAAAGAGTGATGGAAGAATGAGGAAAATTTTTTATCGAGAAAGAGAACATATGCATGACAAAGGCTTTATAAATCCTAGGAAATTAGAGTGTAATTTTTTGCCAGATCGTAATCTCATGACTTAAATGATATATTAAATAATTCTTGATATTAATTGAACAATATTAATAGAAAGAAAAGGATATTTGTCTATCCTTCCAATTGATAAGAAGAAAGTAAAAAATATAGAAGTTTAGAACCGTTCACTGAAAGTTTGTATATTTGGCTGACAATATAACATTTTGATACAAATTTTTATATTTGGCTGACAATACAACATTTTGATATGAAAACAAACCTTTTGTTTGTATGCTTGGTATACTACTTCTTCGATAGGTTATCATTAATTTTTATTCAACGATTATTTGGTAATATCAATAAAGGATTAGATCAATATGACTAAAATGTCCCGCTTCTAAGCAGCATAGTAAGCGACCAGGAAGGATAACTGTTTGAGGGAAGGTTTCAATCTAGACTAGCTTTTCATTAACTATATAATTTGATTTGCGGTAATATTGCAACGTCACATTTACTTTTCAAGGTTGAGGTGATCAACTTCAAAAGAGCTATTCATCCGTTTATCCTCTTAATATTCTTTGCTTATTAAATTGAGAATGATTGCATGATTTCAGAGTATTCCTATACCTCAGGTAAGCAGGAAAGAAACGAGTAGCAGGCTTATAATTGAGCATAATGCGACACTACACACTTTGCAAGCGCTAAATTTTTGGAGGAGGAAGATTTCTTGAAGAGATAAGCGAACTGAAGGGAAGTAATCTTCTGGAAAGGCATAATACTATTATTGTAACTATAAATCAAAAGGATAATCTGATAAACTCACAATTCTAACATCTTCCCTAACATTGGGCAACATGGTAACATCGATCATTTAGTTAAGAGAAATGCAATAATACATTTTTACATGTGAGCTGCGAAAATACAATTTTATACCTTTCATATGAATTGCGAAAATACAATTTTATAACTTTCATGTGAACTGCGAAAATACAATTTTATACCGTTTTTTGATTTAAACCAAAAAAATACACGTAAAAATAGCAGAATAAAAGAACTGCAGCATTAGGAATATCAGCGTTCTTAGCTACAAAGAAAAAACTAAAAATTAGATTGTGTCGAATTTCGGAATGCTATGTGTGAATCTCTCATAGCTTGCATTCGTTCCGTTATTTAAAGGATTAACACCACATCTGCCTTGATCAAAGAAAACCTCTGGTCAAATCCATTAGCCTGAAGTTTTCCGTGTCTGGCGAATTAAAAAGCAACTCGTTATTTCCACATGGTTAATAAAAGACAGATCCCGGTCTCCTATGATTCGCATAATTTAAGAAAGAACTCAATAGTCCACCAAACAAGTTTATGTCATGCTTATGCAAACATTACATGAACGGTATTTACAAAAGTGAACGAAACATTTGATTTGTTTTACAAAGAAATACAGTTCAAGCGCACAGATATTCGACACAATAAAGTACACGATTTGATGGATCAACATAACGACGCTTCATTTCCTTGTAAACAATTTTCCTACATTTCACATACCTCTGAAAGTAGTTTAAATTATCATTCATAAAATAATCCAACCTTTTCCATTTACATTTCTGTTTAAACGTTTCGAAATTTAAAACCCCCGATTATGTGCGAAATCATTTTTGTTATCGCATAGCCACCTAAAATCAGGTACCATGAAAACGGAATTGAAAACACCTACAAAAATTCTTTTGCTTCTCTCAATGCTTCTCGCACAGCAGGAGGATAGTCTTCAGCTTTTATAGATTTCACGAGACAGTACGATACGCATTTCACTGGAACCCAACGCCTGCAAATAAAATTCGTTAGAAAAAAATAACATCATTCGACTACACTATGATATTTTGAAAAAAATCATGAATAAAGTGGGACATATTGGAAAGTTTAGTGCGATTACATTAAGAGAATTAAATGAGAAGACTATGATTCTTTTTTAATATTAAGACTACAAAGCTATCTGACCATCCAAATCATTACTAAATTCAATAATAAATGAATTTTAGGCCAATCAGATAGAATAAGGATAATGCGATAAATTCAAGTTTGAATGCGAAAAGATATCAACAACGGTTTGAATCAGATACCAAAGCGTTTTGCTATCTTCAAAATCTATTTGTAATTGCAGCAGCAAGTTTGCTTTCGATTATTCCAATTTTTACTATTATCGACGAGAAAAGGAAAGTTTTACTAAAATTCTTACCAATTTTTTTGACCGTCAAAATACAAGACCAAAACATATTGCGTATAATCATGTGGTTTTGCGCTAAACATTTCATCTATTGGCAAATCAGCCAGCAAAACCTGAAGTTACACCAAAATACTTCGAAATAAAATGTAAAATACATGTCTGCTATACAGGTGTAAAATGCAAACGTTTAATTTCTGATAATAGGCTAGTAGTAAAAAGAAATTTTTAAACATTGAAAACTATAATTTTAAAAACCTACCCTCATTCGTAAATCGATGACCCTCCCAATTTTACGTTCATTATTTTCTGTTATCCAAACAATATCGTCATGTTGAAATTCACATGCCACTTCAACTGTTTCTGCAATACCTTTTTTTGTTGAACAGTAAGACATTTCTTCAGAAAATTTCAATGTAATAATTAGTGAGGATCAACTGAGCCAAAACCGGCCAGTCTTAAGGAGATAAAAAGAATTACTTTTGCAAGCAAAGTCAGAAAGAAAAAATAATAGCCTTGCTATTATGATTTCCACAAAGATAGAAGGGACAATACTTACAGAAAAAAAGTTCGCTGCGGCACTTTATCGCTCTTGAACAATTTAAGAGGGCAAGTTTGTCCTAAAGCTAGATAGGATAATTATAACAATATTTTTATAATTTATTGCGAAACATTACCAACAGGACGTTCCATTGGTGGTGGTGGCATTAGCCTTCGAGATTTCCTTGTGTTTCTTCGCCGTCCTCGTCGAAGAGGCATTTCATCTTCAGCAGAACTTGATTCTTCCATTGTGGAAGTGTCAGTTGTCAAAAATTTCGGACTTTTCAGTGGACCGTTTCTGTAGGTCATAAACGACTCTATAGCTGAAAGTAAAAAAAAGCAAAAACTAGAAGCTACAAAAAAGGAAATATTGATATTCAATAGAGCAGTATGATATGAACTGGGAAATGTGAAAAATTTATAATGAAAAATGTTAAGATGAGATTAAACTGGCGAGAATCGACTTAGAAAATCGGAAAAGACGGACTGAAATTCACAGTTGACTACAATAATATCGAAGTTATCTTGTTTCACGATTGTGATAACTGATATATGACGAATATTACGTACCCAGATTATATTTGGGACGCTTTCGTGTAACGCTGTCATCAAAAGTTCGCAAAGTACGCTTCCGAGTTGATGTTCTCGTTGGAACCGTCTTTTCACCCTTTGAACTACGACATATTGACGCTTTTTTTTGTACAATGTCCAAGCCTTCATCGTTTTCCTCTTCGTTGTCAAGCTTCGATCCTTCGATAGGTGTATAGGATATGCTTGATATTGTTTTGAATACCCCATTTGCCTGCATAATACTTGAAATGAAGTGAATTATTTTTCGATTGGTATTTTTATGAGCTTCTTACCGCTTTTTGTATATTCAAATTGTGCACAATCGGCAAAATGAACATATCAATGAATCGATGCAAAAGCGACTTCTGAGAAGGAATAACAAACATCAGTAGCAACTGTATGTTTTCTAGCATTGATCAAAAAATTATTCCAACTCCCAAGTTTCTTTTTCATGTTGCATCAAACACTTTGAGGCAAGCAAGTAAGAAATCAGTTTATATACTGCAAAGATCTTTACGCTCAGTAATGAAACAACATTAGAATATTCATACCAAAGTGAGAGCCTGCACGTCTTTTTCAGCAGCTCTAAAATATTTCAGACCAATGCGATGAAGTCGATGACCATATTTCCAGAAGAATTCATTATGTCGATTAAATGTTGAACAATTATTCATCATTAATGTAAAATCAGACTTGAGCTGCGAGAGGTTTTTGTAATCACATTTTGCAAGTTTCCTGTTAAAATATGCCATGAGACTTTGTTACAGTACTCAACAGACAAATTTCGTTATTTTAGGAATTGAATCGAAAATAAAAAGTGAAAATTATAAGCTTACTTTCGCATGGTGGACAAATCCATTGGATTTTTGATAACCGTCGAATAACCAGGCACCTCCTTTTCCGTTACTGGCTTTGCAAATACCTGTAATGAATATTTTCTCAACAAAAAACTGTAAACAAAAAGGCAAATGGAAGAAACTTCGTGTTAAAATGAAAAATTTTCTAGCATCAATGGATGTACATAATAATTGATAAAGGGAAGGGAAAGGAACTAAAGAAAACTCATAAATTATAGATCTTTCCAAAAACCAATGAATGGATTTCACTGAATAAGTTAAACTTACATCACTATAATCTTTGCTAGCAATCTTCTCGATTACTTCACTCATTATTGCATTCAACGGCTTTGTCAAACGATTCAGCAAGGAGGCAGTCGAGTCATACTACAATAAAAAGAGAAATCTTTTTGAAGAACTTATCGAAAATGCTAAAATATATAGCAAAATAAAATAAATATTCAATACTGCAATAAAATTTCAAATCGTAGAGCAAAACTCAATTCATCTTTTAATCGAAAACTACAAGTGAAACGCAACTTACAAATTCTTTTTTCATCTTTTCCCGCTTTTTTACCAGCTCACATAATAGACGAACACGCTCAAGGTTCGTTCGCAACAAGAAGTATGTTCTAGTTTCACTAGGGTGTGGCTCCTGTCCAGATATCGGAGAAGCATCAGCAGACTTGGGAAGTGTTTTGCTATGCTGGAAAAACCCAATATCAATTTCTTGGATTTTTAACTTTAATATCTCACTTTCTGAAAATTCCTTCTATAGTTATTCTTAACTCGCTAACTGCAGAGATTTGGAATAGCGTTTTTATTCATTTTCATATTACTACTGAAGCAAAAGGGAAGAAAGTTGACTTATTTAATACGCCACTAGTAATTTTTATAATATTTTGAAAGCTGCTTACGATTAATCTTCGTAACAAAGGTACTCCGAATCGTGACTTCCTTTTTAACGACCAATAAGCAACGATGTAACGAATCACATTCTCACTGATATCAGCTTTCTCACATATTCTTTTCAGACTGTAAAATTATGCAAATCAGAGACATGTATGGATATTAGCAATATAAACTTATTCAAACTTATATTAGCGATATTAACTCGACTGAGGAGGAGTAGTATTTACATTCTAAATATGAATGGCTAAGAGAAAAATTAATCCTCATGAAAGGTATGGAATTTCGAAAGTCCTTCTTACAAGAGTGACCCCATTAGTTTTTGCAGTTGCTGCTAGCACACTACATTTATTATATTTTCCAAATCAAAATATGAACGATAAAGCGATAAAGTAACGAATGAACCTTTCGTGCGGAACAGTGGGAATAGAAACTGGTGGAATAAGTGCTTGACTTGCTACTAATTTTTCACGTGCTTTTTTCATCATTTCATCCTAAACACAGTCCTGACTGTTAATAAAAAAGTTGGAAGAACTGAAACTTCAAAACAGTTATCTGTTGAAGATGGATGGATGATCAAAACATACCACTTTTTTCCTTTGCTTGGAGAAATCACTTCCATCATTTCTAAAAAAATATTATACATGACATATATAAATATATAAATAAATAAATTAATTAATAATAGTAATAATAATAATAATAATAAATATATATATGCGATCATTTGCTCACTGTGGCTTTAGCAAGATTTCTTTGGCCTCGCAGGATTTTTCGGTGCTTGATCTGAGTTCAGACTTGCTCTTCAGATTGTAACTGATAATTCCAATTAACGTACTCGTTTAATCATATTTCGACTACACTTTTTCTTTTCCAAACAAAATGTGAAAGATGTATTGAAACATACTTTACAAAATCGGTTGAATGAAAATGGCAATATGCCGTATACCGTATTTCAGTGCCACCTTCACGTTTGGGATTATCAACTATTTCAGCACGCATCTCCATACCCGCGGCATTTGCACATGTCACGTGAAATGAACGGGTACAGCTTTTCTGAAGGAATGATTTAGTTTGAAAAGAAGGAATTATGTAGTGTTAGTGTTGGAGAGAACATGATAAAATCATCGTAATAGCTTACACGAGAACTTTGACCTGGTATACCGTTATTATTTCAAATCAATATGTTTAGATTTATATCAAAAATTCAGTACTGCTTTTTAATTCTTAGGATAATGAACGCTTTTTAAACTTAACTGCGCTTCATGATAAGCTATCGCCATTTATCATACGAGGTATCTAAATTGCACTTAGTAAATGCTTTTACAGAATTTACTGAACTATTGTGTGCTACTTTTTATTAATACAACTAACAAATTTCCCGAAGATCTCGTCTATTTTGGTTCAAGTTCATAATCGCTAGTGAACTACTTGATCGACCAATGAATTATTTGTCATACCCTAGAACACTGTAGACATGCTCCCACTTTTTGCTTGCATACAATACATCTCAGCCGTTGCCTTCGTCTTAGTGAATTTTCAATCCCATCAATTGGTTCCATGAAAACACTGTTGGCAAAATGAACCTAAGAAATTTTTAATCAGTAAAAATGAAAAAGAAGGGTAAATAAAAAATAACAAGGTGCATTTCAATTCAACTATAATTCTGCTCGATGGAATTTGAATTTCTATTTCAATTCGTTCGATTAGGAAGAGTAACATCAGGGGTTTAAGATATAGTTTTCGTGACACCGTATCCCTTAATCTAAACCGTCTATATTAAAGGGAGTTTTCATCTCACTTTGCTTCTACATCATCCCTTTTATTTCTTTTAGGCTCACAATTTTTTAAAGTATTATTGAAAATAAAATAAATTACAAATTACCAGTAATAATAACCTCATTCAGCCACAATGCACAAACAACATGGGCCCAACGACTGTCAACTGTTTGTTTGAAGGCACCATGTGAACTCGGACAAAGTACACATGATACTGGTTTCGATGGTGACATTTGACAACGTCGACAAAGCCACTGTCCTTCCGGGACATATGGTACGCCGTAACAATCCTGAGTTTTAATTGAAAAGTGGATATAATTGCCAGTATCTTTGAGTAGAAGAAAAAATAATGTATACAAAACGAAAAAAGAGATGGACCAAGGACATCGATGAAATAAAATGAAGCTTATAAATGTTGCAAGTCCTAGTCTAACAAGGACTTTACTTATTCAATATAGGAAATAGAATATCATACTTGGTGAACGGCAATATTGCACATATCACAGAATATAATTTGATTAATGTTGCTGCCTTCTCCATCATTACATACGCAGCATACAGCATCTTGATCAACCAGATATTTGTAATTACCATCACCTTTTGAACACTATAACTTTCTTTGATAATAAAATAGAGGTTCAGAAATCCAGTTAAGAAAGAAGGAAAATTTATTTCTCTGCATTAATTACAATGCATTATAGGCTACTGAGAAATGTGGATTGCGTAAGATGGTTTAAAAAAAAACATCAAAAAGAAAAGAAAAATCAAATATTCTCCATCGTCAAATGCCAGAAAACTCTTCTCTGAAAGTCCCTAGAAAATATTGTTAAAGTAAAATAGAATTACGCATAACAATCAAATATTTTACAGCTTTATTTCGACGTGGATCTTGAAATGTAATTCTTAAAATCCATTCATCAGCGCATTATTCATTCTCATAAACTGTGCTTTTCTTAGTGAAACTCTAATAAGTAGCATGCACGTCACTCTAGACTCGAGATATGTAGCTCGTCACAATGAAATGTGAGTAAAGCATGGCATTCTAACTACTTCGATTATCCCGACAAGATGTCTTACTTGGAAAAAACTTTCTTTTTCTAGACGATCCATTGCAATCTCAAAACTATGCACACTGAGACGTTCCTCGCCAGCTTTCTCTAATTTCTTTGAAACAAGGGTTAACCATTTCATATCCTAAAAAAAATTTGATGAGCCTTATTCAAAGTTATTGAAAATTCTATATGCACTTTAATAACAAAAATTAATAAATAATATTCCTAATGCATGAAGCTGATGCTTAGACATCACAACAGTTTGAGAGGTTTTAACCATGACAAAAAAAAAACCTCCTCGTCAACATCATATTCCAAGATGCTGTCCATTTCTTCATTTAGCCTGACACGATACTTGATATATCCTTTAGGCATCTCGAAATTTTTAGATGACAGCGGCTTAGGTGATAGTTTACGAACATTTACCTTAGGTAAGGTTGCAGTTACTCCACTGGCCTAAAACAATCAAAGCGCATAACTTTAAGATTCTTCTAAAAATTTCAAAAGATAGTGTTAAAATTTAGTGTCTAACTAAAGTAGCCTCTAATTACATTTATAGAGTGCACAGTTAATATAAACGAAATTCAACTACGATATCTCATATATAAGTACTGTGAAACATGATTCCAAAAGTTAATACAAGTAAAAAGATGTTGCTAAGCTATGATGAGATAAAACAGCATTAAATTCTCTACCTACCTAAATGAAAAGACATAACTGCTTTACGTACTTATTTCGATAAGGAATATCAGGTCTACGTCTACTTTACACATAAAGGATGTAGGAACAGGTGACATTTATGTGATACTTGCTCATTTACAGTCAGCGGTTGCATAACACTTTCTAATCTGAAAACAATTGACAGTATGAAAATCCACTGCACGTAATCAACAATACTTCTTTATATCTTGCCAGTACAGCACTGCTTCTTTCCTCCACTGATAATTGGTCATCAGTGACAAAATTAACTGTCAGCGGTTGCATAACATTGATACGCACAGTACGTCCATCCATACACGTACTCAATACACGATCCAACATTTTTTATTCTGAAAATAATATTTCTATACGAAAAAATTCCAAAGTCTTACAAATTCAAAACTATTTCATCCCAGCATTCATTTCAAATAATCTAATATTACAACATGATAAATATGCAAGAGATACAAATCTTTTCCTATCCTATTCTGATAAAAACAAACTGATAAAATAATGCAAAAATAGCACAGTTGCTGTTTACACTGCTTACATTTTTTGCAGAGAAAGTAACATGCCGATATGAAAATAGCATAGAACAGACGAAGCATTCGAATATCATAGAAATGATATTTTTGAGTTAAAGTACAGTATAATTTAAAACCTTGCTCTAATATAATTATAATTTTAAAAAAGAAATATTTAATGCCCTATACTCTTAACAGACATCTTAACAGATATATCAACGCATTTTGCGACAAAAGTTTTTATGATCCATGATAATCATACTACTAATGCTAGATCTTCAAATCAAATTATAAAGTCTGTTATCCTGAAAAATTTCCAATTGTGGCCCAAAATATTTACAGAAATTGAATGATAAATAGACTGATCCGGAATCTTCTCTCTTTGCTTTCCAATCGGGACATCACAACTAAACGGATGAAAACAATCCCCTTGCTGTCATCACCGAAAACGACAGTATAACTGCCTACATCATTGTAATCAAAAAGGGGTAATGAAAGCGAAAATGTTGACAAAAAAATAACGGTAGGCCATGTACCGCATTATATCTGAGTACAATGGAAAATGCGCGCGATTCCTTGTGTATTGTGAGTTTTATGCGCGACTAAAGGGGGGGTTAGAGGTCACAGGAGGTTTGATGGAATTTTTAAAATTACTGTTATATGATTTATGGCAGCAAGAAATATCACGCCTAATTTAAACGTACTTATTATATGTTTTGCTACTCGTTTTACTCTTTTTCTAATTGTTTTCATTTTTGATTTATTTTCCTTAATCTGCGACTCATTTCTTACTAAGCGATTCATTTATCACTAATGTCGTACATTTTGCATAATCGATTCCAATGGCACTATTGCAAATTATTCCTTTGACATAACTTTGCATTTGATATACTTATATGCTGCGGGATGACTTTTATTATTCTTATTTTGTTTATTCTTTTATTCTTATGACTTTTATTATTCTTTTATTTATTCTTTATTATTGACTTTTATTCTTTGACTTTTATTCTTTTATTATTCTTATTCTTATTTTGTTTATTATTCTTATTTCTTATGATGGTATAGATTTGTTCAGTTTTATATTTATGTGTTTGAATTTTTATTGATATGACATCTTCAGGTCTTTCTTGAAGGGATGTTTTACGCCCAGTTCGTTTTATCAAAAAAAGGTCCATTAGCCAAAATCTGGCTTGCTGCACACTGGGAAAAAAAATTATCTAAAGCACAAATTTATGAAACAAATGTGCAAGATGCTGTGGATGAAATACTGAAACCTAAGGTGAGTTATTTGATCGAGTTTGCAACAGCAAATAATTTACATTCAGTTTATGAAGTGAGAGTTTATGAGTTTATGAAGTTTATGAAGTGCAACTATGCAACTCTATTAACAGGACTAACTTGAGCATTTTATCTCCTGTTGAAGAGGACTAGGGATTAATTTCAGAAAGCTAAGAACACAGTTAAAAAGAGTGAAATGGTAAACTTTCACTTGCAAATTTTTCTAGGTTAAAATGGCCTTGCGCACCACCGGCCATCTGTTATTGGGTATTGTGCGGATATATTCGCGTAAAGCGAAGTATCTCTTGGCTGATTGTAATGAAGCATTCCTCAAAATTAAAATGGCATTTCGCCCTGGTCAAGTGGGATTTGATGAAGATGAGCAGCAGGCTGCGAGTGCTGCCATTAATCTTCCGGAGGTAAATTTCACTTAACTAATTTTTTAGTGATCTTGCTTTTCTTTTTACCTCTGCCACACTTTAAATCATTAAAAAATAATACCTCTATATCCATACTACTGTCAAATTTTAAGGTGTTTCATGATTTTGACGCTGCATTGCCGGATTTCAACGAATTGGACATGCATGCACAAATTCATATCAACCAGAGTCGAATTGATGATATTACTCTGAAAGAAGATCTTATACCAGAAGCAACAGATGTGCCTTTTGGGGCAGAATTTGGGGTACTTGTGATGATAATTGATTTACGTTATTTTTAATATACACCATGTCTCTACTGTATTTGTCTAATTTATATTGGTTTTCAAGGTCTTAAAGATGTGGTCCAGATAAGGATTTTCAGGGCGATGATTTTGGAGAAAGTTCGCTAGGTTTATTCAGTGATGTTAACATTGAAGAAGCTCGTGAACGCATGTCCTATGCGCCGGAGCCAGGAATCAGTACATCTGCAGCAACTCTTCTGGAGGAATCTGAACCAGCTAGCGGGAAGGGTGATGTTATTAGCGGGAAGTCGATGGATGTTGATATTGCTGATCATCTTGGAATGCCAATGCCGGACGATGATTTTGGTGATTTCCCTGCAGACAATATGTTGGACGGTAAGCCTTTTTGTTCGGTTCACGGATTCCAGTCTGTTTGGATTGCTTTAAACAGATCGGTTGCAGAACTGAAGGTATTATTGGTTCTAGTTTGCATGGATTCTTTAAAGCAGTCGTAGCGTCAGATGATTTCTTTAAATTAATCCATTCATAAAATTTTTAACGTTTTTAGGCTTGATTGAATATTTTCTCTTAATTAATTTTTAGCATATATAATAAATATACTAAAATCTTTCATGTTGTTGCAGAAGTAATTTTCAATGAGAGCGAATTGGCAAAAAGTTTAGACGCAATGGAAGCTCCTGGAGCTGAACACGATATTCCAATGGAAACGGAAGATGTCGCAGCGACAGCAATAGCAGGGCTTGTAATTCCTAATGCTGGTGCGTTATCTAATTTTTATGCTCATTATATTTGTTAGTTCCACTAATGATTGTCTATTCTTAAGGTGGACTAACCAATGAAAGCTTTACTCTTGAACCACTGGATGCAGCTGCTGTTGCTGTAGTTGGAATCGAGAAACCAGGCCGACCGAAACGTAGACGTCGATTGATAGTTGACGAACAGAAGAATATTTCAGGAGACGAAATGAAAGGAAATATGGCTGAATATAGGTACATAATCTCCATGTAGTTGTGATTTATATTTGCTTTTTCTTTATTTTTTCAGTTAACAATGAACTAATATCAATGTGCAGGATAAAACCTATAAAAAATTCATAGGAGATACTCTATAGGTAGTATAATGAAATATGAAATAAAGTTGAATACTTGAAATTTTGTTTCAAAATCAATAGTTTTTGAGAATTATAATTTTTGTAGAGACACGCTGCAACCACTGGATCTTGCACCTCCTACAAGAAAATTGATGAGGCTCAAAGAAACTGGAACTGCAGATAAACTATTTGCTATTCCAGGTTGTGCACATCTGCGAGCACAAAATCTTTTGAAGGTAAATTTAAAGCAAAAAGTCAAAAATTATTGAGGATTGGTTAGTCCCAGCAATATCTTTTAGATAACTCAAATAATAAAAGAGCACTTTAAAAATTTGTTGTAAGTAACTTGAAATATTCAATGCAAGGTAACAATTTTATGTATTATTTTATAGTTTGTTATGCAAGGCGACAATTTTATGTATTATATTATAGTTGTACCGTTCTCATCTCGTTTACCGTGTACATAGTGCAAGCGCACTCACAGGGGACCAAATACGAAAGGATTTGGAAATGGCAGAACATGTCGATGACAACATCGAACCCGAAGGCAGCATTATTTCGGGACTTTTGGTATAAATTTTGTGAAATTCTGCAGCATTAGGAATGGTTGTACTTCCTTATGTCGATCATTTGTTTCCCAAAAAATTCAGTTTCAAATTCACTCATGATTAGAAACAAAGAGGGATTGTTTCAGGAGGACCGCATGGATGACTTTGATGACGTCGGCATGGCAGCAATGTCACCAGATGAAAATATAGGGCAATTAGAAACAATTCCAGAAGAAGAAGTACCGATCGCTCCAGAAGAGCAGTTGATATCCATTAGTAAAGATGTCCTGGCCAGTCCTGAAAGGAAAAAAGAACGAAAAAGTCGAGCCGAAGTATTAATTTACATTTTTCGAGATTCGTGGATAATTTGTTTTTTTAGCTAAATTTGAATAAGTAATTTCGATTTGCAGCGTACAATAGATGAGGATGAAACAGCAGCTGATGGCGAGGACGAGCATAGGTGGACGAAAAGAACGCAAAATGTTCTAAATTCTATTTCAACTAAGATTAAGGCCTCTGCTGATGGAAGGGTACGTTTCTTGTTATAGATTTTCAGTTATTGAGCTATAAGTGACTTCGATCAAAGTGACCTGATATATAAATTCCAGTGCGATTTTTTGATGCAAAATGGTTTTCGTTTCCGGTTGCTAGAAAATTCATGTGTTGTTAGAAAAAAAGTGAAAGTATTATTGGAAAAAAGTGAAATACATATAAGTAACTTGCATTTACATTTTTAAGATAAAATGTAATATGTGCGTTGTTTGTTCAGATATTATTCACTGATCTTCTAACGAAAGGATCGACGCGAAAAACCGCTGCTCAGAAGTTTTCCATGTTGCTTGTTTTAAAGAAATGGCAAGCAATTGATGTGCAGCAAGCAGAACCATATGGTGAAATCGTGATTTCAGCTGGACCAAATATCGTATCTGCGGTATCTTCGTAACTGTACCTCATCATTGTTCTTTATCTTTTTTCTAAATTTATTTATATAAAAATATGAAATATAATTTGATAAAAACGATTAGGCTTCTTCTCGAATTCAAAAGTTAGGAGAATCATATTAATTCTGAACTGAACATTCACAATATTTTTGACAGCGCATTGAATGTTAGATGTAAATTAGTCAGTTGGTTGAACGGCTATTGATCTTAACATGAATGATTTTAGTCTTCATCCCATTCATGAATCCATCAAAAATCAGCTGAAACTGATTAGAGCAATTTAATGAATTTGTGCACTGCAATTTTTTTCGGTTCTGGAACCGTGCATTATTTGCTGCAGAACTGAACAAAATGCAGTATGAAATCTTTCAAATGTGGCCTATTGCTTCAAATTTTTAATAAGTAGTTATATTAAATTATCAAGTTTCATTTTTCGAATAATGTTTTAATATGATTTTGAGTAGTCATTTCAGCATATTTTAATATGCCTCTTGTGTTTTCCTCATATTCAACTACTATCGTGATCTAAGTATTTTCCCTTGTTACCGAAAGTTCATACAATGCTCCTTTGTGAGTTCTTAAATCTTTGTAGAATTACGGAACCAAGTTCTTTTGCTTTAAGCTTGCTTTCTTAGGTTTATGAGCTTTTTCTCCTGTACTACGTGAGAGATTTGAAATCCGGTGCACGTTGTTACATGAGTTATGAGCTATGATCACCACGTGATCATTTTTCAATGGAACATCACACACGGAGATGGAATAAATATCACTTTTATTACTCATAAAATCATTTTTAAATTTATTACTTGAAGAATTGAATAATTTCCAGCTGTGTACATTCTATAATTAGCCTAGCTATAAAGTAAATAAATGGCAATGTCCTTTTTATGATATACTTTTTCGTTTAGTTGTCATGTGATTATTTCAATTCCCATAAGAATGGTTAAAAAGCCATAGTTATTATTGCTGATCTCTCTTTAGAATTTTGTTAACTGTTTTCCACTTTCTTATTCGTACTTTCATAAATTTTCATATAACCGAATGAATCAATTAATTCAAAACCTTCT